TCTTGTTCTGTTGGCCAGGCTGGAGTGCAGTGGCTCAATGCAACCTCCACCTCCTGGGCTCAAGCCACCCTCCTGCCTCAGCCTCCTCAGTAGTTAGGACTACAGGCACACACTACCACAGCTGGTTAATTTTAGTATTTTATGTAGAGGCAGGATTTCACGATATTGCCCAAGTTGGTCTTGAACTCCAGACCTCAGGCAATTGCTCCTGCCTTAGAGACCCAAAGTGCTGGGATTACAGGTGTGAGCCACCACGTCTGGCCAAGCTTTTGCTTTTAAGTGGATATTTAAATATTATCTAAGCAAGTGCATGGCAGTGTGAAGGTATACCAAGCAATGTTGAAGTGGGAAAGCATCTATTCAGACTATATCCTGCCACGTGGCAGGAACAGGGGGAACATTCAGATTATCCTAAGCAATCCTCATTACGAAGTGTCACCCTTTGGTAAATGTTGTTTGTATAACACTATGGAAAAGAATGTTCTTTTTTTTTTTTTTCGTGATGCTTAACAATGAAATCAGTTCCAGATGGGTCAAAACATTCAGAAAACAGTATACTGTTGGGAGAACAAGTCATATAACCTTTCTGTGTCTCAGTTTTTTTTTTATAAAATGAGGATGATTACAACACATAGCAGATTTGTGAGAATTAAATGAGTTAATATGTGAATTGTCTGGACCTTAATAGTCTCACTTATTTCTCTTTTCTTTATTTCTGTTACTGACATTTGAAAGTTCTACATGTTAGTCTCCCTATTGACAGGAATGACCTACACAGAAAATAGACATTTTAGTCATGTGGTCAAAAAACCTTATCCTAGGTCACGATGTTAAACCCTTCCCCAGTGCAGCAATCCAAAGTATTTTTGCTGCTGCCGTTACACATGGGCATCTGAGTTTTGTGTGACCAAGTATTTGATCATGTGTTTGTTAACGAAAAATGAACTGCCTCCACTAATTACATATGGTCACTAAGTGTTTGGACCTGGTACCATACACTTTAATTCTACAATACCACGGGATAGTCTATTACTTTTCAGCACCACCCATAAGCAAAACCTGTGTGCCTTTATCAGGGAAATGAAGTTGGCAAGAAGGTATTCTTCTACTATAATTTAAAGCATATACCAACAGAGGTTTCTAAGGGGAGTTAAGACACTGGGGTGGGAGAGAGGGATGCAGGCTTCCACTTTAATGCAGTGGAAAAGCTGCACAATGCAAGGAATGTGCATGTCCAACTATAAATGGGGGAGGAATCTTAGCTTTTATTCAACACTTTGAAGTTCCATAAAATAATGAAGCATAAGACTTCCACATTTCCTAAAAGTCCAAATTCTAGTACCAGGACTCAGAATGCTAACATAACATTCATCCAAGTGCAAAAACAATTCATGAGGAATGATAATCAAAGGATATTTTTCCACTGGTCCTTTACTTAATTTTATGATTTAGGCATGGGCAAAACTACTCTCTACTTTCACAACATGTCGATCATATAGCTTAATCATCAATTTAAAAATGTAGAAGAGGCCGGGCGCAGTGGCTCACTCCTGTAATCTCAGCACTTTGGGAGGCTGAGGCTGGCTGATTGCTTGAGGCTAGGAGTTAGAGACCAGTCAGGCCAAAATGGTGAAACCCCAACTCTACTAAAAATACAAAAATCAGTCGGGCGTGGTGGTGGGCACCTATAATCCCAACTACTTGGGAGGCTGAGACAGGACAATTGCTTGAACCCTGGAGGCGGAGGTTGCAGGGAGCCAAAATCATGCCTCCAGCCTGGGTGAAAGAGCAAGGCTCCATCTCAATAAAAAATAAATAAATAAAAGAATGTGGAGGAAAGAATATATAACAGAGGGGCCAATCAATGTCAAAAAAATTACAATAATTAAATTATTTGCTACTAATTGAACAAGGGTAGTAGACCATTTGTAGCAGTTATATTTTAAAAGAAGATAGTTACATAAGAGAAGTATTTTCACATATATACACAAAGGCCAACAAAATCAATTAAAAGTATAACATTTTACAATTATCTCTAAAGTAAAAACACTTCACATTTCCTGAGAAGCACTGATATAGCAGGGGACGGTCGGGGGGAAGTGGGGTAGAGGAGGTAGAGGCCCAGTTGTGTTATCCCACAACAGAGTTCAAGCAAAAGCAGAAGCAAAAGAAAATTATTCAACACTACTGCAAACTTTAGTTTTCTGGTTAGTTCTCTAAAAATCAATCAGTCTATCAATCAATCTCTCTTCACTTGATAAAGAAATAATTCAACAAAATTAAACACAGATATGAAAATAAAAACAGAATTTCTACTTTAACAACCTGATACTAAATACAATTAAAATCTGTTTAACTGGTGTGACATTACTATATCCATGTCAATGCTGACCAGGACATTTGTAGTCAAAAAATAAGTAAATAATGTTCCAAATTATCTAGTACAGCAAACAATGGCTCTTCCCAATCAGTCTCCAATCATACCTTTCCAGCCTGTTTCTCTACATGTACATAGATGGGCTTACAACACAGTGTGCTACCAGCCATTACCCATATCAGTCAGGCTCACTCCACTCTACTGTGCCTTTGTACCTGCTTTATTCTCCAACTGGAATGTGAACATTCTTACGTTAAGACTGCCTCGCCGGGCGCGGTGGCTCAAGCCTGTAATCCCAGCACTTTGGGAGGCCGAGGCGGGTGGATCACGAGGTCAAGAGATCGAGACCATCTTGGTTGACATGGTGAAACCCCGTCTCTACTAAAAATACAAAACATAGCTGGGCATGGTGGCGCGTGCCTGTAATCCCAGCTACTCAGGAGGCTGAGGCAGGAGAATTGCCTGAACCCAGGAGGCGGAGGTTGCGGTGAGCCGAGATAGCGCCATTGCACTCCAGCCTGGGTAACAAGAGGGAAACTCTGTCTCAAAAAAAAAAAAAAAAAAAGACTGCCTCAACAGCAAACCACCATGGCATGTGTATATCTACGCAACAATCCTGCAAGATCTGTACATGTACCCCAGAACTTAAAGTAAAATAAATTTTAAAAAAAGACTGCCTCAAATGTCCCTTGCTTTGTGCTGCCTTCCCAATGCCCTGAGGCAATGTTAAGTGACCTCCTTTGTGCTATTATAGAAATTATGCATTTAGCTGTTATACTGTAATTTTCTTTTTCAATAGAGACAGGGTTTCACCATGTGGGCCAGGCTGGTCTCAAACTGCTGACCTCAGGTGATCCACCTGCCTCGGCCTCCAAAAGTGCTGGGATTACAGACATGTGACCCCATGCCCAGCCTGTAGTTTTTTATTTATAAATCTGTCTCTTCTGCAGGAAAGCAGAAAAAAATAAATACTTCCTATCTCTGAGAGCTCAGAGGTTAGTAGATAGAAAAAGTAAATAGAGGATATCAAGCGTTATAAAGAGGTACTACTGTACATAGATAGAGAAAGGACTGTTTGGGGCTTCAGAGAGAAGATGAAACTTCAGCTGAACCTTGAAGAACAGAATTCTGAAGGAATAAGACAGAAGTGGGACAACGCAATCTAGAGATAAAAAGGATAATTCAGAAAATGAGAGTAGAATGTTCTGGACTGGGAAAGGTGAGAAGGAGATGAAGAAGGAGTCAAAGCTGTGACGATGAGGTAGAGAATGTTAAAGGTATAGCATACAAGAAGAATAATTTATCTTCAGATATCCATTTGGAACCATAGAAATTTCTGGAGGGGAGAGTGGCATGACTGGTGTTTATTTTAGTAGTCTGACAATGATAAAGATAATGAATTAAAAGCAGAAGAAACAGGTGGAGATGAAAGCAATTAGGAGGATACTGTGGTAATACAAGCATAAAAGAATAAAAGACTAAAGACTGAACTTAAACTGGGGAAATAGGAATGGAGGATTAGAAGCAAAAGAATTTGATTAATAATTGAAAGAGGAACAGGAAGGGTTGAAAATGATTGTATGATCTTCAATTGATGTGAGTACATAGTGACTTCATTAAGCAAGGCAGAGAATATAATTTGGAGAGACGATAAATTTTTTAGACACACTAAATCTGAGGTCCTTTGGGATATCATTTCGTGGATAACTAGATGGCAGCTGAATATAAGTTTGGGTT